GGGGCGGAGCCGTGGTTCCGTCGCGAGCAGGTGGCGCTTCCCCCACGTTTTTTCAAGCTGCGAATGCGGTACATCCTCCATTGCAGGCCGGAATACCCAAGCCGGATCAAAATAGGGGCTTGAACATCAAATGAACGCGAGGGTGCCTTTAATATACAAAATCAAAGGTTAGCCTGATCAAGAGGGAGAATGAACCATATAATGTGTTGTATTCTGAAAAGTTCCCTTCAATACATTAGTGACATTAGTTTTTCTCTTTTCGAAGGCGAGGAGCAGGAATAACTCACCAGTTTTTGAGCATTTTAATAAGGTTTCGTAGAGATCTTGACATATTTTATCCCGTGAGATGAGAAAAGTAACCACCTGAAAACAGCTAAAGGTTGCAGAAGGCTACGAAGCAAATGTCTTCAGTCCACGCCACCCGCCCATTGAAAGGTGCGATGATGGCAGACAGGGTTGTTACGTTGTTGTAGTATCCCTTGCCAGACCACATCGTCCAACAAATAGTAAATAAAAATTTCTACGTGTACTCACCAGAAAGTGTTTGCATCGAATAGTAAGAGGACAACCAGACACTGAAAGAGGTCCACGCTCGACACTACCAATCAAACCATTCGCTATCTGAAACGGGGATTGGTAATCAGCAACTGGCAGGTTACACACTAGTTGATGCACTCGATGCAGCGACACCCCTGGCAGCATTTCAAGTTTTGATATGGATAAAAAAAATTGGCGAAAAAGGATGCGCTTAGGACTAGTCCACATTAAAGACACATGGTACGCTCAAACACATTGAGGGTGTATGAGACTATCAGCCCCCCAGCTGTCGATGTGTCGTGGTCCCCCCGCCCAAAACTGCACGGGGTCAGAGTACGGGCCGTGGGAAAGTCGTAATTCCTTGCTACGCCGCCCGTTTCGCAAACTCACGTTTTTACTAACACCGTCCGCGCGGCGCGGTCGCGTGCAGCTCTCTTGCTTTTTGCCTGTAATTGCGCTTTGGAATACAAGTACAACGCAATTTCTTTATGCGGATAACATTTTAGGTTCTGCAAAATAAGAACTGAAGATGATGACGAGGGCTAGAACTCAAGAGCAACTGCTTCTGCAACAGCCCTCGCAGGCCGCGCATTCCCACAAAACATCAAAATAAAAACGGCCTAAGCGTCCCACTCGTTAGTTTGAAGTATTTCTATAGCATTAGAGCCGGATTCGAGCCGGATCGCAGAAATGCACACGCGATTTTAATTTATTGCGTTTCCTTAGTTTTTTCAATTTTGTTTTATTTACATCTACATTCGTTGTTGTTCATTATCCATTTCAGCCTTTCTGCTCAATCTTCATCACCGTTCTGGTTCGACTTTTCAAGCATGAGCAATATCTCAGATGTTAGGAAATTGCGTTTTGCTTGTATTGTCATGTTTTATTGTCATGTTGTTCGTTTTTATTGTCATGTTCTGTGGGAATGCGCGGCCTCTGAGGGATATTGCAGAAGCACCACAGTTGCTCTTGAGTTCTAGCCCTCGTCATCATCTTCGGTTCTTATTTTGCAGCACCTAAAATGTTATCCGCATAAAGAAATTGCGTTGTACTTGTATTCCAAAGCGCAATTACAGGACTTGGCAAAAAGCCAAGAGAGCTGCACGCGACCGCGCCGCGCGGAATTGTTCTTTCAGCTATAACGTGAGCGGACGGTGTGTAGAAAGGAATTATCGCCTTGTCCCACTGGCCCCTACATTCTGACGCTCGTGGCCAGTGAAGCGAGGTGACGCAGGCACATGTCGACAGGCTGGAGGCTGATATTTCATAGGCACTCAATGCATATGAGAGCGTAGCCATTGTGTCTATAAATCGTTTTGGGCATCAAGCTCATCGTCTCGAAACAGAGCAGCGCAGCTAGGAAACACTTCGCCGATCTCTGAAACATTCGATACTGTTCCTCTTCAGATGATGACGCGGAGTCCGCAACCGCTCGGGGCCTGCCACTCGTGACCGGGGGCGATGAAGCTTACGGATAGGGTTTGCGATGGCCAGAAACTCTGATTACACCTCTAGTCAGCACAACGGATGCACCATAAATATGGCAAGGTAGTAATTGAGGCACAAAAAAGTAGTTCGAGTTGAACCATGGTGTCTCCTTGTAAGCCTTTTGGCTTGGTTGGGTATGTGGCGAGATAATCGCAATTCGCCGCCCTCATGGGTCGTCGCGTGTGACGTCGCGCCGCAAATGACGATGGTCCCGTATGATGGCGACCAAAAGGGAATCGAGACCGGAACATAGGTCATGAATGCTAACAATTTCAAAAAGCGCAATCCGAGCTGCTTCAAACGACAGGCTAAACAGTTAAGAAAACGCCGCTGCCATCGCCGCGCACGGCGGAGCGGCAACCTACGATTCTCTTGCCCGTCTCCTAGCTTGAGTCGTGAAAACAGAACGAGCAGCGTCATCAATTGGCCAACCTCCAGATAGCAAGATAGACAGCTTCGAAGAAGGTTAGGAAGGCGCACATGCGCAGCACTGTACTCTCTGAGGAAAATGTCGCGCTGGTTTTCGACTTCTTCTGACTTCTGTTGCAGAAATTCAACTGTACTGTTCTGAAGCGTAGGCTTTCTTATCTAGAAAAACCATCACAGAAAAATCCTCTAGATTGATATCTGACACCACCTGGGTGGATTTTTCTCTCCCTTTTCTGCTAGATTCACTCCTAGTGATTCAAGCAGCTTTCTTTAGTTCAATGGTTCTTCAACAGACCCATCTACATAATATCTCCCCGGAGGCATTTCCGTGGACCTCCTTTGTAATCTTGATACTATATTCAAAAAAAATTAAGAGTATCTGTCAAATAGCCCAGGATAGGCCAAAATCACCTTGAAGAAGACTGAAGGGAACTATTCTGTCCTTATCAACAACCTCGTGACTCGAGGTGGCATGCATGGTGGTGTTCTGGACGTTCTATTCTTCTCTTCGCCGTTAAACCATTTTTCGTCGGCTATAAGTGAGTGACTGCGATGAGGAACGTGCCGCGCGACGGGATTGTGAAATATTCTCCTTCACAATTTATCTTGTCATAGATGTCGTGGAATTCCGACTTGTGTAGGTGTGCGGTTGCAGTCAATGTGAACTCCTTTTTTTCCCAGCAGAAATTTTACTTGTTCCTGCGAACACTGTTGGTATATTCACGGCGCCCCCGTAAAGAAACAAAAGGCGGTACGACTCATCAGCAGCGTTGCAGCTTATCTTCTTGCCCATGTTGTGGGCGCAGGCAGAAGTGATGTGGTGACAAGTCGAACTCACCACTCACGACGCGGTCCTGGGTTCGAACCCGGAGTCGATTCCCGCCCAGCCAACCAAGCCCTCAACCTCCCCCCCCCCACTTGGGACGGTAATTCGGTATCCACATTCGTTGAGAAGATAAGAACACTGGCCATTCAATAAGGCACGCGATTCTGAACAGAAGTAGAATGCGTGCCGCATCCCATAAATGGATTGATCAACGGCGAAGACGTTACCCTTTTTATCCTTTACTATGCGTCGCGGATAGGTATCGCGTTGTTGTTTCGCCTGTACTTGTCTGGTTTCTTACTGAGTGTCTCTGCGTCTGTATCCACCCCATGCTCTCCAATGTTGACAACGAAAGTGCCCCATTTGACGATTTCATCTGATCCAGAGCTCACAGGTAAGTCGATAAGCTTCTACAATTTCATGTATGAACGCCACTACCAACCTCCCGAAATGTGCCTTTCAGTAACGGAAAAATGAACAGACGATATTGGGCATGAGCAAAAACACTATCCGTCGCTTCTTCGCTCATCTATTCTTGATTCATGCGAGGAAGTCTCGTCTGCCCCTTCATTCTGCCCAATCCACAAATTCCACAGATTTGTTCTAACTCTTTCCCTACGAACCATAATGACATACCAAAAAAGGCGTCATTAGCGGTTTGAGAGACAAAAGCAGAGGGAGCGATCGATAAATGCGCCCTCATTTTGCTGAAGCTTTGAGGACTCAAAGTTTTCACCACTTCCATCAGCCACTATAAATGTAAACTGGTCCCTGTTTCGTCTATATGACTACAGCTTGACAACAGTGGGAAACTGTTCAGTTCATCTCAGTGCAAATACACCACAGGATAAACGGTCTGCAGGTGAACAACCCTATGGGGCGGGTACTTATGCACTTGACACCATGAGCATTGATTCCAGTGCACGTTTTCCAACTCCCATTCTAAGCCCTTTTGATTGGTTTCAAGGCACATTTACTTGCCTGACTTCATTTTAAATAATAAGGATGAATGACAAATGGTTTTTCTAACAGATGCGTTGGTCACTGCATGAAATAGAACTGGGACCCCTTCAGCCGTACTCGCTATGGATTCTGGGTGGGTCGTGGAAGGCTGGTTTTGGCGCTTCGCCAGCGCGTTCTTCACCAATCGTTGAAGAGGGCAAGAAACAGCAATTGGTGGAAATCGAGCCAGCGCCGCGCCAAACCCAGCCCTTGACACGCTCCCGCATTCGCAGCGTACAAGGCTGCAAGAGGACCTAATGAATGGATGAGTTGCTTGCTGGGAGGTAAACCAATGGGGTTGCGGAAATTCTTCAAAACTGACACGCTTCCAACTGCGCTACCACTGCCGTTCAGTGATCAGATAATGGAAAAAATACTGCGCAACGAAACCTGTGAACACGAAGGCATAACCCCTAAAAAAGACAACTCACCCAACGTTCCTTTGTACCTTCTTCTGAACGAAATATAATATGCGAAGTGGTTATGTGTAATGTGCCAATAATGTTCGGTTCGACACCCAAGCGATCCACCAACTGCACCTTATCCACCTTAACATAACATCCCTTACACAAGGAAAAAAATGAATTATGTAAGCAAAACTGAGATAATGGTTATGCTTTGGAAGCCTTTCTTATACAGTATTCCTCACAATCTTTGGAATATGTGCGTTTCTCTGACTTCACAATTTGCGACCCGCTAGCGTTTTCAAGATATTATTTATTTATTTATTTTTATCTTCATCTTCACGTTGCTTACGGGGAAGGTGCTCTTCACACTACGATCTCTATAATACTTACGCCAAACCCTACTCTCCCTCGGAATTACAATGCAAAAAAATATACAACTCATATAGATAGACTTTGGATCGAGCACGTTCCCTTTACAGATAATGAAGTATTCTTTACAGGTAATGAAGTATTCTGAGAAGCGTAGAAATGGATGGCGGACAGCGAAAAAAGTCGTCTTTAGTTTCTGCTTGAAAGGACCCCTTTTGACTCACGTTCTACTGCTTGAGGAATATAGTGTGGGGAGGGGGGGGGGTGCCGCGATAAGGAATTCTCGGATACCCCTACCGGTCCCGCACTCATTACTTTTGGTACTGCAAGCCAAATCCAGTGAAGCGTCACTTTGTCTCTCACAGAGTATGCATGATCGCACACACACAGCTCACACTTCCCCCTCCCCTCATGATTGCGATTCTTTCTGAGAGAATACAACATTCTTAGTGACTAGGACTGCGATAATTTTAAGCCGTAGTCTATTCACCCTTTTCTTTCCCTTCTTCGAATTTCAAGTCAATTTCTTATCGAAGTTTTCTACTAGGGTCCCCGGGGTAGCTTGACTTCCTGATCATAAATAGCACATCTGTTGAGGTGGAACTGCTTGTGGTTTGCACTATGGGCACCAGCGCCACAGGTAGTGTTGGCGACGACTCCACCCGGTTTTGAGCCAGGCAAATGTGATAATCTTGTTTAGAAAGTCGACCTACTCTTATGGGATTCTGGCCAAATATACAAACGAAGAGAAATTTCGATCAGAATCTGATCGAAAAGTGGGGCAGTGAAGGGTAGGCAATGCTTTGATTTTAACCAGGATTTTTATATAAAGGATAAAGGATAAAGTCTTCGCCGTTGATCAATCCCTTTGTGGGATGCGGCACGCATTCTACTTCCATTCAGAATCGTAGTGGCTTATTGAATGCGATGTGGCCTATACAATGACTTGCGGTGGCCAGCCGATGTACAAGTCAGTGTTTTATCCTCCCAGACGAATCTGGTACCAATTTACCGTCCCCGGAGGTAGAAGGCTTGGTTGGCCTGGGCGGGTGTCGACCCGGGATTCGAACCCAGGACCGCGCGAGTGGTAAGCGCGCCACTTGTCGCCATACCAAGATTTTTATATACGACAGGTATATTGGATGAAAAATTGCATAAATAACTTGCAGAAATAACACTTTGGACGAGTTTTCCGGCTCTTAGGGGCGTGGACGAGTTGTCCGGCTACGCGGCTGAGATTCCCCGCACCTAACGACGCGTTTTCGCGAAAAAACCGGCAGTGGACGAGTTGTCCGGCTACGCGGACGAGATTCCCCGCACCTACAGACGCGAAAAACGAGAAAAAAAATCGCGAAAAAATCGCGAAAAAACCGGCATGGAGTCCCCTTAGGGACGAGTTTTTTTTGCTCAAAAGGGCATAATGACGCCCTTCGAGCAAAAATAGCAAAAATGCCAAAAACCTTGCTTTTCGGCAAAGGTGCCGAAAAGCAAAAACCGGCCCTTTTCGAAAAGTGCCAGTTGGGGCAACGCTTTCAAAGAAAACAATATGGAAGCAGACGACGCTGCGCAGCAACATAAAAAAAGCTCGTCGAAATTACTTAACGTGACGCGATTTGTGATGTTTACCGCTAGTGCTGGAAATCGATAAATGGCACTTCGAGAATTTTTAAACCACAGGTTAATTATTGCAAGCACTAGTCACCATAAAACAAAACAAGGATCTTAAAGCAGATCAACTAACCATTAGCCCTACCCACCTTGATAAGAACTCTTAACGAAGGTTCGAGTTCACAATCCGAAAATTGTTTCTCCTTCCTCACTATCGATTCATAGAGACCAGAAATTTTATCTCTTAATAACGAGCCAGCAACGGAGATATCCTCCGTGTACGCAGGATATGAAGAATATGTCATTCCTCATCAAAACTCCTTAACAACGAGTAGCATTTGACGTAAGGGGAGGTTCAGAAAAAAGAAGACGGCTGTCTTATGGAGATTGCACGAGATACTAGGAAGGAAATGAGGCTGAATAGCAAACAGAGTTCCAGAAACAAATCATTTCTCGGGAACTGGAAGGAGCTCTTGTCTCAGAGAGGAGGCAATAACGCTCAAGTACCGCAGGAAATCAATCTTGAACGAGGATATTCTGAGCGTATGTCATTTGAAAGAGCCTGTTGAGTGTGGTAATGAATTTTTAAGTAGATCGGGACACGAGAACATTTCGATTGTACATAGCTTAACAACGTTTGAGGTCGCCTCCTGCTCATCATGAACATAGGATACGACGGCTGAGCACAACATCGACGGCCTTGTGGGTGAACTAAATGCGCTTGGAAACGCCAGCACATCTTCGCTGCAAAATTTGCTGCTTCGGCGCTGCCCCGTGTCAGAAAAAAACCTAAATATCGAATTTCGGACACAATTCTCATCAAAACGTGCTCAGCCCAGTTCTACGTCATGCTCTCGCTGTTTCTGCTGCAGACGCCACGCTCACGCTCAGGAAAACTGAGCGTAAGCGTTACAAAATGCTTGGAAGCATGTGAAGTAGATGGGGGAATACCAGACGACTAGAATTGGCTTCGCCCGGCCACACAAATGAAAGAGAACATCAAAAGGCTGAGTTCCAAAGCTTACAGAACCATCCAACTGCCGTTTCTAAGTTGTAGTGCGTATAGCATACAACCAGGGCACGCTATGGCGTTGTGATCATTTCCTGAAAAATAAGACTCCCCCATGCTACCATACTACTTTCCTAGATTTTCCCAACTTCCTACCACTTTTTCCCGAAAAATTTCCAGTTTTTCAGCCAAGAATTTTCCGTCGAGGGGGCGGGGGAGGGGGGTATACAGGGGGGCCAAAAAAAAGTCATTTTGCCTCCATGACTTTCAAGGCGCTATAAGTTACACTTTATTAAATTTTTATCGGACATTTTTACTACCATATTAAAGAGCACATTAAATACTATAATGATACTCCGCCACAGCCTTCTGGAGGAGCGCCATCGAGAGATTCGGCCGCGCGAAAGTGAGTGGGTACCGGAGTTGAGCGAGATCGTTGATTTCTCCGCCACTGTAGACCACCCTGTTGAGCTCCGCCCGAACTAGGTAATTGAGTGGGTTCAGGTCAGGGGACATATTTCAATATTACATCTTCATCAGGTACGAAACGCCCTTCCATTCGAAGTAGGCGGAGTTTTTCCAAAACCCTTCGATTCCATGTGGTGGCACCCAAACCTGTAGCAGCACAAGGTCTCCAAGAAGGTACGGGCGACCACATGTAGGGAGGATATCCTTCTCGAGTTACTTGATGTAACCGCCAGCGCTCACCTTCAGTCGGGGTCTACAAAGAAAATATCGGTCTTCCCATTCCAGGTACGGCCGGTCCACACCATCAACCCGCGCCTTGGTGAATGGGGTGAAGATGATGTCCTGGACCGTAGCGACGTTGCCGGAGCTGCTCGATGTTTGAGGTCTTGCAGATCAAGAGTACTGGTCTCCAGGTAGCTATCCATGGGTGATTCCATTCAAGAAGTTCCGCAGCTGTTTGGAGGCCACGTGAATTCCAAAGGCGTTCTCCACTCAGGCCGCGACTGGAGATGACTTCATATTTTGGTGTACATGAAGGTGAATGGCGGCAGCCGGCTCCTGCTTATAGAGGAAGATCTTGGGTATCTTCCGCCCTGGTACTCATATCCACTTCCTCTGTCTGGGCTGCGAAAACTTCGCTCATATGTGACTCGGCCGGAATGACTTTTTTTTTTTGGCCCCCCCCTGTATACCCAATGTGAAACCGGAAACATTCTCCAGAAATTTAAGTTCCTACCCAGTTTTTCCGAACTTCCTTTCTGGCTTCTCCGAATTTGCGGCAGCGGGGTAGTGATGGAGATCGTCAGTGGGAGAAGAGGGAATTTAGGCTGCGTTTATACTTTGCGGCAGCGTAGCGTAGCGCTTCCAGCGTACGCCAGCGGCAGTGCCGAAGAGAGGATGCATATCGATCTAGCTTCACCAGCGTCACCAGCGGCACGCTGGCGTACGCTAGCGTACGCCAGCGTTTCTCCAGCGTTTCACCAGCGTTTTGCTAGCGTTTGCAGCGGCAGGGGAGTAGAGACTATGGGAGAGGTACAGACTACATCGATTGCGCGTCTCTCACTCGCCCTTAGTCTCTACAATGCACATCGCTTCTGCGTCTCCGACGGCCACATAGTCTCTACAATGCACATCGCTTCTGCGTCTCCGACGGCCACATAGTCTCTACAATGCACATCGCTTCTGCGTCTCCGACGGCCACATGGTCTCTACAATACACGTCGATTCCGCGTCTCTCACGGCCACATAGTCTCTACTCCCTGCCGCTGCAAGCGCTAGCAAAACGCTGGTGCCGCTGGAGAAACGCTCGAGAAACGCTGGTGAAGCTAGATCGATAGCTATGCTTCCCGTGCCCTCGCTACGCCAGCGTGCCGCTGGTGACGCTGGTGAAGCTAGATCGATATGCATCCTCTCTTCGGCACTGCCGCTGGCGTACGCTGGAAGCGCTACGCTACGCTGCGCTACGCTACGCTACGCTGCCGCAAAGTATAAACGCAGCCTTACCTACCATTTTCAACTTATGATCATCACAACGATGGCGTGCCCCGAGTACAACACATTTGTCAAGGAGCTCAAGTAGATAAGGATAAGGAACGATTTGGCAAAAGCCACTTCAATAAACTTCAGAGTTCTTCTGTAACAAAATTTAGATGTGATAGCGCTTGCTTTTTTCATCACAGCCTTGAAGTCGTGGATCATCACCGTATATCATTAATCTTGAAGACAAACCCCGCGACTCTATATTGTGTGGCGCTCACGTACCAACCCACGGTCGGTGAATAACTCTTCAGGGCAGAAATGCACGGAAAAACCCGCGGCGACCACCCATAGTAAAGGCCTGCTGGCCTCTTTGGAGAAGTTTTCCCCTGCTCTTCTTCCAGCGAAGCTGTATCCTGCCACCTCTAGCTCAGTAGTGGCTTCTCCGCGTCATTCTACACTAGTACCATCAAACAACAAGAAAAAGTGGCGCGAAAACTGAACTTGTGATAGAAAATAGCATTTGAATTTCGGTGTGCAGGGCAACTGGAGAATAGTTAGAAATGCCGCTTATGAGGGCCACAGCTCTTCGTACTTGCTGTGAAGCAGCGAAAGCGGGATAATCTTAGGGACTGAGGGCCAGACTACTTGTATGAGGAAGGACGTCTACGAATTTGAGCGCAGGGACTGTATTTAATAACAGTTTACAATAAACAGAATCATCTAGAGAGGTATGCAAAAAACGACCCCTCCTCTTCCCCATTCTCTCTCAGGCGCTCCTCCTCTGATACGGCCCCTCTCCCCTTCCTCATCCTACCTAGCATCCCTCTGAGTTCCCACAACTTCCAGCCACTTTTCAGGACTCTTTTTTGAAATTTATTTTGTCCGGCAAAGATAGATGTAGCGCTCATGAAAGGGGAGACCGAATTAAGTCAACAAACAAAACCTTTCTTCCTCAAAGGTGAGAAGGACCCCCCCCCCTCCTCCTTTCGTGCCTTCAGCGACCAAGAACGATCCACCGGGGATAACAACGTACGACATGCCCTTATGGACCATGTTCAACATTTTTCGAGACTCTGACGAAGGCAGCAAGGCCGAAATGTTAGCAGAGTAAGTCGCTACAACTCGGTTGCGGCACAATATTACTCAAAAAGACTGCTCATGGAAGACAGACACTTGATTCGAGGTGCCTGTATGATACTAGTTTTGGGAAAGCAGGGGTTTCCTCAGCGGGGGGGGGGTGGAGTGGAAAGGTTATGAAATAAAGCTAAAAAAATGCAGGTGATGACCATATTTGTTTCTGACATGCGCCGCGCAGACTAGTTTCATTAGAAATCAAACAAAGATAGTTTGAACGAAGTTCCTAAATCCTAAGTTCCTCGTCAAATAAATCTTGCGCTAGTTCTATGGCCAGAGCGAGTTGGCTCTAACGGTTAAATCTTACCAGGACATGGCGCCTTTACCTACTGCGCCATCTCCGTGACGTTTACATACTATCAGGATAGGAGAAGACCAATTCTGACTATGAGCGAACAAATCCTTGCAGCTGTCGCGGCCCCTCGCTTTTAGCGCCTCCAATTCGTACTGCCAACCTAACTATCATGGAGCCCCTCCTCCACCCCTCCACCCAAACCCATCATCTTTACTTGGAAACTCCTCGCTGAAGTCAGCCTCACTGCTCCATTCCCCCCCCCCCAATTGGTCGCTGGAAAAATACCTTATGGGGATTTTCCAGGCTTAGATTTACTCTGTTCCGAAGACACTGGGAAAACTCTCACATTAACTTCGACGCAGAAAGAAGTTAGTCTCGATCAGCGTTTTTCATCTCAGCCAAAATATATACCATTTTCACTTTAAATTCACCCTTTTTCAAACCAAATTCGTCCTTTTTCAAACCAAATTCGTCCTTTTTCAAACCAAATTCGTCCTTTTTCAAACCAAATTCACCCCTTTTCAAACCAAATTCACCCTCACTTTTCATCAAGAACCACACTTATTAGGGCGGGCAACTCATCAACCAGATCACGCCAGACATCACTGCGAGCCCCGCCCCGACGGCCACGCCCACTTGTCAGCGCGGACATAGATTCTCAAATCTTGTTTCATAACTTCTGCTTTTGCTGTTTCCCACAAACACTTTGACTGGAAACCACCGTGCATTCACACATGGCCGACTCCGCCCATTCTCTAAAGGGTTTGGCACTCTAGGCTGACCACGCCCACTGGCTTTTCGCGGAATTTCGATGTTTTTTCAAAATTTTTGCATTTTAGGGTTGCTGCGTGAAGCCCCGCCCACTGTGAGATGCTCCGCCCACTTTGAATAAGCCCCGCCCACTTTTCAAAAATGGATGC